CATGAATGACTATATCGCCCAAGAACGTTTTTAGGAATTTTTCTTCGACAATGAAATTTTTAAGAATTTTTTAACTTCATATCTAATTTGATTTTTTATCAATTATTTATAAATTAAATTTTAATATTTAAAATAAATTTTCAATAGATAAAAATAAATTATTTATCATAAATTTAAAATATAATTTATATATTTTTTACAATAATATAATTTATATGTTTAAAATATCTGTTTATACAAATTTTAAATATAATTTATATATTTAAATATAATATTTATTGATATATATAATTTATTATAAATTTTAATTCTATATAATAAACATTTAACTATGGATAAAATTTACCTCACAAATTTTGAAAGTCGTTGTGACTAATTGTGAGCATAACACAATCCCTCCACAGATTATCCTTTTTCAATTTTTATATGTTTAGGTCTTAAAATTACAACTCATAATTTTTTATCATCCGAACTCTTCAAACTCACCATTTTTTTTTTTAATATATAAATTCTTAAAATACTTGTAGATTAATAATAATATTTTGTATGACATTATATTGTATTTATTTTATATATTTTTTAATAATTTAACTATATATATATATATTAATATCCATTTACTGAATTAAATCATTGGTTTAATCCGAATCATCTCATATATTTTGAATCGTAATTAAATCAAATTTCAATTTAAATAAATAACCTATAATTTTTCATGTCGAGTAAACACCATACTTTAACTAAAAAAAGTTTATTAAATATAATAAGTCCTCCGAATTCTGAATGCTGTTGTGGCAGTAGAGTAGACCACTTGTCTTACTTTACAACGAATCAAAATTCTTAAATTCATTTTCGATTTCAGGATAAGGCAACTTACGGAACCAAGTTTCGGTGTTTCAATTTCGTTTTTTCGAACACAAACCGGTAGAGGGTCCCTTGAAGCATAGCAGCATTCACCTCACGAGAGAACAAGGCCTTCTTCTCCTTTCACATTGCGTTGCATCAACATCATCCTCTTTCCACTGTTTGTTCCTCTCAATGGTTATGGCAACTGTGGTGTCTGAACCTGCTTGTGCAAGAACGGTTCATGATGTTGCGTATTCTTTCGGTCCCAAATGGCACTCTTCTCTGTGGAGCAAGAAGCCGCATGCTCAGATGCTTCAATGTTCTCTCAGAATTAGAGCTTGTAATTCCACGGCTAACAACAAGGATATCTACAAACAAGTGGGTCTGTTTCAAAATGCTTTCTTTTTTGGTGTAAGAGCATGTTCTGACTGCTTTTGGTCAATGGGCATTTTTTGGCTTCCGCAAGGACTTGCAGAAAAATAAGAAAAAATGAAAAAAAATTTAAAGTTAAAATTAGCTTTATGTATAAGATAATTTGTAAAAAAATTTCTATTAGTTTCTCAAAATCTTATTTCTACCTTACGCATAAGCTAGTTTTAGTTAATGAGAAACTTTGTGGATGCCATAAAGTGATTTTAGTGGTTCAATCAACGTGGTGTTTGCTATAGGGGATGTGGCTTTTATTATTATTTGTGTGTCATTGCCCTTTTGCTTTTAGGAGTGTAAATGGGAAGGTCGGAAATGAAAGAGTGAGATTCCAAGAGGTATTTTTGGATACAGATTAAATCTTAAAAAAAATCACTTTATTACTTGAAGGAGTGTGTTTTCAGCCAGGGACGGTTTCTTTGTCTTAGGGGCCTTAGTAAGTTGCTACCTAATATTGATGATGATATTTTGGTTGCAAATGGTATCTTTTTATTTTATCTGGAATAGATGTTCCACTAGTGTACACAAGTAGTGGGAGTTTCAAGCTTGTGAGGTTCAATTCTTTTTTGTAAGTCTAATTTCAACAGAACATGAAGATAAGGTCTAAAGAACTGTACCTACGAGATAAATGGTTCACTCATTTGATTCTAGAAAAATGTCTGTGGTATTAATTGGAGACCTCTTATCATGTACTCTGTCCAGATAACTTAGTAGTTCTGATGTATAAAGTGACAGAAACATAGGATTGTTAACATTGGTTCAATGGTGAAATTAGAGAGACAACATCAACTTCAACTATTATATTATCTATAAGGTTATAGTTACCAGTGGCCAAAGGGCAATGGTTAAGGAGTATTGAATACACTTATTAAATGCTTTGAATTACTTAAAATACATGCTTTGGATGATTTTTGTGTTTTTTATATAATAAATTGTCTTTTCCAATAAAGACTTTCTGTTTTAGTTTCCATAACTAGTGCCCGTAGGGCTGGTTAGCATTTGCCTATTTATAAACAACATTAATTGTTAATATAAATTTGTTACTCCTTATCATTATCATATAGAATTCATGCTAATTACCCAAGGAGTTTAGCTCAGTTTCTTGAACAAGGTGAATGAGTATTGTAAACTCCTCAGTACAAAGTTCGATCTCCATGGATCAAAAAAAAAATCATGCTAATTGCATCTATGATCATAGCAGATCGTGCATATCTTTTTTCCTCTTTCTAAATTTGATGCCACAATAGTGTCTTTTATCATGCACAAATATCGCTTGAATTGTTTTCTTTGTCCACCTCTTTCTAAATTCAGTAGCATGAGAAAACCCTCTGAGCAAATTATTATCTGATTGAACATTTTCGATAGTATAATGACTCTTCTGCAATCTACTCCTGATGACTCTCTTATATAATCTGTAGGTAACTAGTGCTTTATTCCACTTATTATTTCCATCAATTATAACAATCATTCAAATATGATCAGGTTTATTTTCTCTAAGAAGGAAAATTGAAGATGCAGTTCTTCGTGCTGAAATGTTTGCATCAACAGCCTTGGAAATGGAAGAGGCAACATGGATTAAGCAGGAAGAAATGGTACGTGATATTGATATGTGGGATGATCCAGCCAAGTCTAATGAAATTCTTGTCAAGTTGGCTAATAGTGCCAAAGTGGTTGATTCTCTAAAGGACTTGAAATACAAGGTAATATTCTGTTCTCATCAGTTTCACATGAATTTTGACAGTACTATTTGATTTCTCATCTATATAAAATTTGATTGGTAATAAATGAGGATTGTGTTGGCCACTAAACTGATGGTGTATGGGGACTCTAGTAAACTTATAAAAGATAAAGTGAAATGCAGCAATTACACTGAACAAAGAAGTGTACAAAGAATACTGCTATGTCTGAGACAATTGTAGATGGCACCTTTTGACTTTCATTCAATTAGAATTTCTTAGAGTTTGACCTAACTCAATCTTAATAAACTGACTTGTAAAGTGAGGAATACTCGAATAGTATAAGCACTAGTTAGGCCATATCTCTATGTGGGATCTCAATCACCTAAGAGCTGAAGTCTTAATGGTTGCATACTATGACACTTCAATCAGCTTTTCTGGTCAGTCCCTCCATAAGTAGTCCTTTTCAAGATACCGAAAACTAATTCTGATAGGCCACAATTAAGGCAGGGCAAGGGTGACCACAATTATGATGGCTTTCTACTAGAATTACCTTATATTACCTCTAGCTACTGTAAACTTCAGTTGTGCAGTTAATCCTCTTGCTGCCTTTGCTCCATCATACTTCTTGAAAGTGATTATGCACTATATGCATAGCATAGTTTAGGAAATCACTATTTTGCTAACGATGGCCCAAATTTTGCTAACAGATGAATATTATGGCTTTTCTGGTCATATATGCCTCAAAATGTAAATTTGCTAATTCCACTATAACAAATGCCATGCCAGTTTAATTATTTGTTTTATTTCTTCTTTTCTTATTTGAAAAAAGTATGATGCCCTGTTCTATGTCCTTCAGGTGGAGGAAGCAAAGCTGATCAATCAGTTGGCTGACATGAATGCTATTGATTATGGGCTTTATAAACAAGCATATGAAACATCATTGGATGTGAGTGAGATTCTAGATCAATACGAGATTTCCAAGCTTCTTAACGGGCCATTTGATATGGCAGGAGCATGTTTGGTTATAAAAGCTGGACCTAATGGCATCTTTCCAAAGGTTTGATGATGTGATTTTTGAACTTCATTATGAACAGCTTTGAATCTGGATGATGTAAGATTTTTTTGTGTTACTATATTAGTAAATACTTAATCCTGATTATGATGCATTCTAAAATTGATTCTTCACTTCAGCAGTTGTTCTGAAGTTTAATTGGCATGCATATGGGAAGTTAAATATCAGCTTAGTTCTCCTCATGCAGAGAAGTGATTCTCGTTTACTACTGAACATTTTAATTTGCCATAGTGTGTAGCTGTACCAGCCATTATTACTAAGGAAATCAACTTTCATCTATAAATATGGTATTTTTACTTTAAAATATTAAAATTTTCAGTTTTGAATTTTTATTGTTACTTCATTGTAGGTGTTTAGTACTTCCCTGAAGCAGGAATAAGTAAACAAGGTTTCCATTAGTCAGACTTATAGTTTATACTACCTCACTCATATGTGAGCTTAATTATTGTGGACTTTTCTTCAAGTACTAGAACTTATGTAATATACCAATTTTTTCAGTCTTATAAGAAACTTGTATATTTCATCTAGATTTTGTATAACTGAGTTGCTGATTGTCTGCTTTATGATATATTTTGTTCTATTTATTTATGTAAATTTTTTCTTCTGTCCTTGGCCGACTTTTGCATAAATCAAGCTCTGGGCTGAACAACTCCTAAGCATGTATCTTAAATGGGCCAAAAGACAAGGTTATGAAGGAAGGATTGTTGACAAGTGTCCATTCAAGAATGGAGGAATTAATTCCGCAACTATAGAGTTTGAGTTTGAATGTGCATATGGCTATCTTTCTGGAGAAAAAGGAGTTCACTACTTGATAAGCGATTCTCCAAATGAATCTTCTCAGCTTGAGGTGTGAGTTCCCAAATACTACCATTAGATTTTTCTGAGTATGGGTGGACAGGTATAGAAAAAAAGCTAACAATATAAATTTTCTAATTTACGAAACTGAAATAATCATAGTTATTCGTGTGCAAGAAAAGATATTATATTATACTATACTATATTCATACCGATACATTATAATTGTATATAATATATTGTAGAAACTGCCTTCATATAGCATATAAAAATTCATGTTGGATTCTGGATTTGATAAATATTAATATTAAGGCAAGTATCAATGTTTTTACTTTTTAGGCTTACGAACCAAGTATTAAAGTTCGATGAAATAATTTTGTTTGCTAATTCCAAATTTGCAGGCTAGCTCAGCAACTGTAGATGTTATTCCTATGTTCCTTGAGAATGGTTGTGATCTTGAAATTGATTCAGAGGATTTGATTATCTCGTCTCCCTCAATTCATGGGGAAAATAAGAGACAAACTAATCTTACAGTTTGCATTCAGCATCTACCTACTGGCATAAGTGTCCAATCCTCTGGTATGCATATGTTTGTGTCGAGATGTTTTCTTCTTTTAGTATTTTTCATTATATATTCAAGATCATGTGCCAAAATTTGCATGTGAAAATGAAATTGCAATGTCCCATACTATTTCTTCTTATGGCCATTGATTTCTCTAAACGCGTGCATATGCTATGCTCCTTTAACATGATTTATTTTGGTGGTTCTTTGACCTGATCTTACTTGGATTAAAACCTTGTCAAATTATGTTCAACACCACATTCTTTTTGGAATCTGATAGAATTATGTGGCCTTGTTGATTATGATTATAATGAGTACTTCGTTCTTGTAGCACTAATTTCCCGAGGCATACGAGATTGTGTAAAATCTGTTAATATTTTTTAGGCAAAATTGATAATATAAAATTCACCCTACAACAATGTGGTTTCTTACTCTTCACTATTTAAAAGAGAAGCAGATATTAAAATTAGTGGACAGTATCCTTCATCAAGGATTATCTAAGAAAGAAATTTGGCCTGTAGTTACTTAAAATTGCTGGAGAAGTTGTACATCAGAATAGTACTATTATAGCACAATATACATAGTTGTAAATTCTCGGGCCTAGCGGTTGCTTTAAGCTGGGATTTAGGGTTGAGGGCTTTGAAAATTGTTTCATGTGGCAGTCAAAAGAAATGGTTAATAGTTGTACCAGGCATCATCTGCATAATTGGCCATGGTTAATGATAAGAACCTTGGGAGAACCACACCACAAAAACTAGCTCATGTATTTGGAGAGCCGAAGGCCTTAGAAACCCTATACTAGAAGCTCATACTTCTAATGTAGAACTTAATTGCCATACCTTGTAATGAGATCATAACAGCCCACCATGCTTGACACTCACAAGGGCTGGCTGTGCACTAGCCCCTTTGACTAGTCCTTAGTGAACATTTGCAATGTCGGTGTCACCACCTGTACTGCTCGTTTGCAACTAAGAGACATGGAAGAAGGCTCTAATACCAATTGATAAGAACCTTGGGTGAACCACATCTCACAAAAGCTAGCTCTTGTAGTTGGAGAGCCAAAGGCCTTACAAGCCCCACACTAAAATCCCATACTTCTAATACGGGAACTCAAGTTCCATACCTTGAAATGGGATCCTAACAGTTAATCTAGTTTACAGATGTATTAATTTAACACTTGGAGAAAACCGATGTACGATGACATCCTTGTACTCAAAAGCATTATAAACAAAGATTATTAAGAAATAAGTTTAATGAAAAAGTATAAATTAAACAAATAATTTAATTTGTGTCGTGAAAGAGAAAGAGTTCACAATTCGTTAAAAAAGGAAATAAACATCAATATAAGTTCAAAAAAACAGGGCACAAACCGGTCTTCATGCAAAACTTAAAATAGAAAGAAAAAACATAAATCAACAAAAAGCAAAATAACTAAAACTAGGAAAACATAAAATTCTCAAGTTCCAATGTCATACTATCAAAGCAAAATTTCAACACAACCATCGAAGCACTGAGCTTCCCTTCTGTCATACTCAGTGTAATAATTCGGACACACAGAAATGAAATGGATTTAGAGATTTGTACAGGTATAAGATTGTACAGTTGAGGATGATTGAAGGAATTAATTAGTACTACCTATACCAACAAGATGCATTTACTTTTTGGTAGTTCGTCACTGAAGAACTCCACATTTAAGTGTGTTTGGCTTAGAACAATTTAGGGATGGGTAATTTTCTGAGAAATTTTCCAAAAAATGTGAGTAATGACAAAACACTTTGAAAAATCTTGCATTAGTTTGTGGGGTCAGTCTTTGATCCTAATGGCAATCGAACATCTTAGAAAAGACTATTAATGAAGGGTTCTAACTAATGTAAAGTTCTGATCAGCGATCGAGGAGTTAAGTGAAGTGTCACTATATGAAATGTCATGGGGTAAAGTTGTTGAGACGTCAAATCTGAAAGATGTTACAAATGGTATCAGAGCCTTGTTCTCTCCCCACAAACTGAGGGGTGTTACACTTGATTTCATGTACCTGTTCTACTCCTACAATGGCAATCAGCCCAAACAAAACAATAATACAAATACAAGGAATGAAAATATATCTCATCCATTTATATCATATACAAGGAATAAAGGCAGTACTAACACAACATACATCCATAAATAGATGCCAACAATATATATACCCAACTTTTAAAGTATATTCATCTCCACAACATCAATACATTTAATCCAAATAAGCCTCCACATAAAAAAAATAAAGACTCGTGCGAAGTATGCTCTTAACTCTAGATACATGTGTTATCAATCTCATCATCAACAGTACAAGGTAGCCTAGGAGCCATGGACTGGATTACCGCACACTAGGTGACTGTTTCAATCCACTCTCAACCAGAGGATATTTACCAAGATTTAGTTGAAGTGTTATAGTTGGCTATGGTTATCTCCCATTCTCGTTAGAGGCTCCCGACCATAACACCCCCAAGGTCTGGATAAATGACCATAAAGACCCTCCTACATAAATTCACAACACCTCACTAAAAAAAGTATGCAATGCATGGACTCTACAGAACAAAAGAACACCACACAACAACCATACAAATGCAATGTTACCACAATGACTTTGTCAAACCTCTCTGCTTGGACTTCTCCATAAGTACCCAACCTTGCTCAGATTATATCATTGTCAAACCGTAGCCTAGACTTACACCTTTCATCACATCATCATAATCTTCATCATAAATATCATTTCTCTTCATATCATTCAACATTATCATAATATAATTATCACCACACACTTATCCTCTTTTCATCATTCATGTTTCTACTGTATCTTTACTCAAACATACATATCATTCTCCCCTTATTCACTCTTTAATATACTTCTTTCTTTACTTGATTAACTATGATTACTTATTTCTTATTATCTTTGTTTAATATTTACTCTTCACAGGCTCCTCTACTATTGATTACTTTATAAACTTAAGTGTTTTTCAACAACGATGTGGTGGCTAGTGAGATAGTACTCGTGTCCAGGGTGGAGAGGTCAAGGGCCTCTCTATTGCATTCACGCTTGGCGTGGTATGCCCACGCTCAGTGTGAGGGACCTCTTTGTCTAAACTGTGCTTGATATGGTTGCTTCCATGCCCAACGTTGAGGAGTCAGAGTCTCCTCTAGAACAAATTCACCTAAAGTGATCCAAGTCACGCCTAGCATCATATCTAATGAAAATTGACATTAAAATGGCGAGACACCCCTTGTCCAACATAGAGAAGCTAGAGACCTCATTGACATTTATGTGCCTAATGTGGCTCTCTCAATGCCCAACGTTGTTATGAATTTTACACCTCATAGAATCACGAACCTCAGGATGTTGGTTCTCGCAAACCCATCCACATTCATCAAAAAGTTCCTTTTCTCAATCCAATTGGTGAAACAACTTTATAACATATACGGAACAAGTATTTATCAACAATTCACCCAATTTCACTAGAAACCCCAATTCACACATATTACACTAACCCTCAAACCATTCAATTCATCACATGATTAATCCATCAGAAATATTCACGAATATACAAGAACAAAACAATGCTCAACCACATTATATGCATATGATTCTACAAAAATTCAATTATCATCCTAAGAAGCTTAGGTATTGCATCACTACTCATACCCCTAATACATGCCCATGGGTAAGACATCCTTACTTCCCTCTTATCTCAAATGACCTCTAAGGCACTATCATGTTCTTCTAGTGCTTCTATTGCTACTCTGTATATTCTCTTGTGTTTGTCTCTAGTGTTACCTCTACAAGTACTCTTAGGGTTTGGAACAGATGTGTAAAATGATCCTACTTTTCTTTTAATAAGTCTTTAGGTCAGACTGAAGAGTCAAACCCAAGACTTTTTCTTTTATTTTATTTAATAAAAACATTTATCTACATTACCAACTCAAATAATTAAATTAATAAAGTCTGTAATATAATTTTTTATTCACAACAACTTATTTTATTTTATTTATGAAAATCGGATGTTACAAGGAGTAAGTTAATTTTTGTTCACTCAGTTTTTGCTTTTAAACAACATTTCGTGAGAATCATTCGATAGAACTAAATAAATACCAAGTCAGTTTCCCTTATTTTTCAAAATGAAAAAATTGCTAACCATAAAAGTGGGAATTTTACTTAATTACATTTTATGTTGTCTTTGTGAAGGTGAGAGAAGCCACTTTGCAAATAAGATGAAAGCACTAAACAGACTGAAAGCTAAACTCCAAGTGACAGCAAGGGAACAAGGAGTTCCAAGCATAAAAAGTATAAGGAAGGACAACATTTTCGGTCTATGGCAAGAAGAAACTAGGAGGTATATCTCTCATCCGTACAAGTTAGTACATGATGTAAAGACGGGCATTGACGTGCCAGACCTAAATTATGTTCTGGATGGGAATATTGGACCCTTTATTGCAGCTCATATTAATAGCAGAGTCATGTCATAAGGTCTGAATCCATGTTACTTAGGCCACCATGTTATCATTTTGCAATTGTTTAGTATGTTTAATTTTTCAATCCTGCTAAATTCTCAGGATTTACTTCAATCCCTTGATTCGGTGAGCAAAAAAAGAGGTATCAATTTATCCATTTTGGCCTGTATTGACAGATTTGTTGATGAGTTGAATGTCAACACATCATATTCTTCTGGTGTCAATGACATGGAACATGTCATGTGATTGGTGCCAAAACCATTCAAATGTGTAATCTACTTTTGTCAACCTTAACATTTGATCGAAATGGAGGAGCTTAAAGTATATATACTATGACTCATTGATCGAAATAAATAAAAATTGAGGATAAGATTCAACTTGAAAAGAAAGATGTTCGGCGGAAAAGAGAACAGAAAAAAAAAAAAAAAAAAAAAAAAAAAAAAAAAACAATGATCAAGGAGAAGCTATATTTATGTGGATAAAAGACAGATTCTAATAGGGTAAACAAAATAAATCAAACAGATTCCATTGTAAGAGTTTAATCTTTATGTTTAATTTTCAGGCACGGATAGTTCCAAAATTGTTAATTAATAAAAATATATAGTAAATATGACTTTTAATGTTATTAGTACTTTAATTTGTTGGCTAAATATTTATTATATATAATTAAATATATAAATATATAATATATTTAAATATATAAATTATATTTAAAATTTGTATAAATAGATATTTTAAATATAAAAATTATATTTTTTGATATAAGATAAATAATTTATATTGTAGTAAAAGATTATTTTTTGTTATTGATTATTTATTTTAAAATATTAAATTTAATTTATGAATAAATATGATAAATAAAAAAAGTTGAATTTGAAAATATAAAATTTTAGTCCTTTTATCAATTTGATATTTATTGATCATTAAGTATTAATATTGACATGTTTCATGTCATTAGTAAGATGACATGAAAAAAATTATTTAATTTGAATTATTGTTTTACTAATTTGATTAATAAATATAAATAATATTAATAAAAATAAAGAAAATAAAATGAAATGAAAATCATATATGCATGATTGAAAATGTGTGAGGAAACCTTTTCTTTATCACATGGGTATAGGGTTTCTGTATTAGTCTGGATACACCAAAATGAGATGGATTTAAAGATTGTATAAGTACGAGATTGTATAGTTGAGGATGATTTAAATAAATTAATTTGTACTACTTATACCAACAAGATGCATATAATTTTTTGGTAGCTTAACCCATAAGAACTCTTCAGTTAAATGTGCTTGACTTGGAATAATTTAGGGATGAGTGACCTTTTGGAAAATTTCTCAGAAAGTGTGCGAGTGAGGACAGAGCACGTTAAAAAATCTTGTGTTGATTTGTGGGGTCAACCGTTGATCCTAAAAGTGGACAAACATCTCAGAAAGGGCTAACTACGAAGGGTTCTAACTAATGAGAAGTTGTATAAAGTATTACCATGTGAAGTGTCGTGAAATGGAGCCGTTGAAATGTCAAATCTGAGGGATGTTTCAAATGGATATCAAAACAGGTCCTCTCTCCTAGTACGGTGTGGTTCGGGGATGAACCAAGCAGAAGCTGGTGGGCTTGTCCCATGATAAAGGCCTAGGTTGGTTGGGTCACAGTCAACACGTGATATTTGGATTACTACAGTTAAGTAGAAAGAGTTACACCTTAACTAACAATTATAGTTTTTTTCCTAGTAGTAAGCACTCAATCCAACAATTGGTATTAAAGCCAATGTCGTATATTCAATTCCCACCTGGAGCAATTATTGGGGGAGAGATTGTTTGCTAGGTGGCATCAATTGTCCCGTGATGGAGACCTAGGTGGGTCAAGTCATAGTCAACACGTAATGATTGAGTTGCTACAATTAATTAGAAAGAGTTGTGATGGAGCTACTTGGAGAGGATTGATGTTCTTCCAAACTTTCCATGCAAGGACCGAAGAACTCTTGAGGAAACCTTCACAAGAAGCTTGAATCTCCACGAAGCAAACTTCAACGGAGGAGAAGCACTTGAAGTGGTTTGGTTACTCCTAGCTTGTTGTAGAAGCTTGAGGAACCAAGGCAAAGTTTGAAGAACTTTAATAGAAACCTTAGAGAGAAAATTCTCTATTAGGGACTCTTGAGTGACAGAAATTTGAAGTTTTATTTCTCAAAATGTTCAAAAGTGAATACAAGAGAAGAGATTATAAATATATAGGGAGAGGTAGCTTAGGAAGCAAGCTAACCTTAACCATGGTTCACTAAGAACCATGGTGAGGTTAGGCTTGACTGTCCATGGTTTGTAAAGCTTGTAGGAAAAGCTAACCTTGATCATGGTTCACTTAAGAACCATGGTAAGGTCGGCCTAACCTCCAAGGTTTAGAAACTTGGATGGCAAGCTACTAAACTTGAAGAAGGTGACTTGAAATCCGGCCAAAGAAAGACAAGGAAGCTAGGCGGCCAAGAACTCAATTTGCTCACTTGATTTAATTCAAAAATATTTGATTTGGTTTAGTTAGGTTCATCATATGATGATGAAACCTAGCTAAATCAAATCTATGAAAAATTAGGAGCAAAATGAGTCCAATATGTAAAATTTTGCCTAGGCCCAGTCCTGGCTCAATTACTAGTCACACCCTCAAGTATTGTTAAATGCCACCCCTTTTTCCTACTAAAAAAATATGAAATGAGTGTATCAACTAGGGAGGTTAAATGGAATTAAACTCTCCAAGCAACCCACCCTAAAAATAATATACAATTACTAATTAAAAGCAAGTAAAGTGTCTCACAAATACAAAGGCAAAAAGTGAACCTATACAAAAGAACTATGTACAAAATATACACAATTAGAACTAAGCCTTCTCTTCATGATAGAGTAGTCCAAGTGAAGAATACCTTGGGCTTGAGAAACCCACTAGTCTTCAAGAGATCCAATTCTTCTTGTATTTTTCTAGCCATAATTCTAGTGACTGGGCCCTTGGCCCATGATCTATCAAGTTGTGTCCTGACTAATAGTTAAGCACTCGATCTAACACATTCCTTTTGACATGGCCCTTGTGATAGGTCATTTGGAGGGTAGAATGTCATCATCTCATTCCTTTTCGAGAGAATTTGCCCTCAAATCTCTTCAAGAGAATATGTCCTCAAATCTGTAACATGTACCAAAGGAATAGTCTTACATATATCAATTTGAATGAAACATTTCATGTTTTTATTTTATATATTGAAACGATTTTATTAATTATTTTCTTTTTATTAATTTTTGTGCATTCTAGTTTTATGTTTCTTATTAATGTTTACATTTTATGTTTTTATTTTATATTTATTATTTTTATTATTATTAATTTTTGTACATTCTAATTTTTTTGTTTCTTATTGATGTTTATCTATTGATGTCACTATTTTATAAACTACCGTGTGCTCGTATGTTAAAATTTTAAGGAAGACATTAGGACATAAACAATGAATATAATTACAAATTTTTTATCGTCATATCATCTTATGATTCTTTCCGTGACTTTTTTTTTTGTGAAATGGATTTTTGAGACATTCAACAATATAAACGATATATATATATATATATATATATATATATATATATATATATATAATCAAAAATTTATTGCAACAACATCCATCATTCATTTATAATGATAAAGTGAATAAAAAAATTTCAAGGTTAAAATTATTGTTTATAAAATATTAAAATCAAATTAATTTATAAATTGAGAATTCAAAATATTTTTTTATCCTATAGATTAATTAATTCTATTCAAAAATTAAATTCAATCTTATTTACTTTTATTAATATTTTAAATTCCACAAATAACTATTGTTCGATGTATATTAATATTTTTTTATTATAGTGATACGATAAATATGTATACCATTTTTATTTTTATGAAATAATGTTATGATGAATATGAAAAAACAATTAGTTAATTTGTAAAAGGAAACGATACATTTTTTAAAAAAATATTTACGGCATTTAATTTTTTATTTTAATAGTTTTTTATTATTATTTATCCTTGTTGTCTAGAATGTAAATCACTAACTGTCTTCCAAACAAAGATTAAACAAAAAACATTTATATGTAATTATAAAATATTATAGTTAAAATATAATTGTCACAGTAAGTATTTGTGATTGTATGCCGGAGGCGAAGAACAAGCAAAAAAATAAAATAAAATAACATTAAGATTGTTTAAAAAAAATTCAATATAAATAAATTTATGTGTGAAAATTAATTTCCATATTTCTTAATAAAAAATATTTGAATATAAATTTAACACCGAAATTAATTAAGTAAAATATTTTTAAAACAACAAATTAAATTTAAATTATTAATTTTATTCACAATATCCATTATTTAAAACTTCAAATTTAATTTTGGATTTAAGATTTAGACTTAAATGTATTTTTGTCCCTAACCTATTGTAGTTGTGTGATTTTTGTCTCTTAATTTTTAATTGAACAATTTTAATCTCTAAAGTATCATAATTATGTAATTATTATTTCTCAAATATTATAAATTTTTTTACCTATTAAGTTACATAAAAAAATTTCATTATTTTGTTTAGTTTCAAACAGACAATAAACTAACTTAAGATATTTTTTTAATATATTTTTTTCTCTCAACATTACTGCTTCAGAAACACAATAGATTCATGAACATAATTTTCAAAATGAGAAATAATTGTAGAAGTGACATCTCCCTTAATGTATGATCAGATGCCAGTTTAATTTCAAAATTTACATAAATTTTTATAGTATAACGATGTATATAATCTAAAAACAAATATTTTGTACAAAAATTAAACATTTAGACGATATAACTTATCAACCATTCACTTTATAATTTTAAGAAAATAAAAGTCATTAAAATCAACTATTATCAATTATGCAACATGATCATTTGTTTTTTTTTTTATAGAAGAATTATAGTTCTTTAGTATTTATATCTTTCTTTTATTTAAAATTTTTTATTGAAAATAATAATAATAATGATAAAATATTTAAGAAAATCATTTGGTAAAAAAATATATATTAAGGATCATCAAAAACAAATTGTAGCATACCAATAAATTAATCAAATATAATGTGGAGACAAATAAGTAATATAAAGATTTTATGATTCAAAATAAATTGAGAAAATAAAATCTTAGGATAGAATTAATTAATCCCGATTTTATGAGATTTTTTATTTTTGTAAATCTTTCCTTTTTCTATTTTACAGGATTCTTACTTCCTATGATTAAGGACTCAAATTCCCTTCTCATAACTTCTCATTTTTGGTGAGAATTATTTTCT